ACCTTCGAGCTTCCTCCGACCCCCTTCGCGGTCCCCACGTGCTTCACCTCGCGGAAGGGGATGTTCCAGCCTCGCTCACGGTACTTGTCGATCAGGGTCGTCAGCTGCTTCTTCCCTACCAGTGCCTGTCCAGCTGCCGTGTCCACCATGCCCTCGGGCTCATCCTGCGGGTGCATCTCGAACGCGTAGGCCTCGTCGTCTCCCCGCACGCTTCGGCACAGCTCGAGAATCCGATGGCCACCCACGATGAAGGAGCCGAAGTCGCCGTCGCCCTCGGTGGTCGCCGCCAGGTAGTAGGAACGATCGCCATCTTTCTTGGGACGAGGTGGCTCCTTCTGCGTGGATCCCGTCGTCGTCGGCCTCGGCTTGTACGGGTTGGTGCACTCCTTTCGCCAGTGTCCCTTCTGGCCGCAGTTGGCGCACCTCGTCCTGAGCTTCAGCTGGCTGACACTCAGCCGCTGGCGCCCTGTTCCCAGCCGTGGAGCCGGCTTGCCACCACTGCGCTTGCTGTCGAAGAAGTCCCGGTCTCTCGCGATCGCCTTCTTCAGCTCTCTGCTCTCGGCCCACTTCCGAGGCTTGCCTGAGGTCGCTCGCTTCTCATCTAGAACTGCGGCCAGCACGGCCACTGCTTGATCTTCGTCTAGCTCCTGGCTCTCGATCGCCTCGTAGAAGGCCGCCGCGTCGGCGTCGTCCATGATGATGTCCTGCTCGAGCTCGTAGTAGGTGACGGCGTCGGCGCTCTCGTCCTCGTCGTCACTCTGATCCACGGCGTACACCTTCTGCTTTCTTGCCTGCGACCCTTTCTTCCGAACATCCATCTTCATCAGCCCACGTTTGATCGACTCCAGGTCCTCCTTCCCTTGAGTGATCGACAGAAGGTTTATCATGTTCTGCTCTGTCAGCCCTGATCCGTTCTTCAACTGCTGCACTTGAACCTTCTCCGGTAAGTCCAGACCGTGCCGTCGAGCTGTCCGTACTTGGAGATCCCGCCTCATCACGTACTGTGTGTACGTCTCCCCCGAGCGGATCTCCGTATCCTCGAGCACTAGCCTGTATGTCTCCTTTGCTTCGTCATCGTCCTGGTCGCCCCTGCACCTCTTCAAGAATGCATAGAGCGTCTCCATGCCCGACGGACCGTCGAGCTCGTCTTGGTAGTGCAGGAGGCGTTCCTGCAAGTCTGGAGGCAGACCGTCTATGACCTTGCCCGCCTGCTGCTCTGCCGGCAGCCCTGTGCGTCTGCTCCATCTCCTTACCTGCACCAGCCAGACGTCGAGCCTCTCGAAGCCTTGCCACGGCTGCGGGCCCTGCATGTCGTTCGGCCGCCAGTTGCCCGTGGTCCCCTGCTCCGTGGCTGACTGCGCTGGCCATCCCGAGACGGGCGCAGCCGGAGGTGGCGGTGCATCAGCCGCTTCGAGCGACATCGCCTCTGCTGCTCCTGCTGCGGTCGCTGCCGTTCGTGCTTGGAGCTGACGGGCTGCGGCTGCTGCTGCTGCTGCCGTTGGTGCCTGAGGCTGGCTGGCTGCGGCTGCTGCTGCTGCTGCCGGTGCCCAAGGCTGGCTGTCCGTCGCTGTCGCGGTGGCCGTCGTCGCTGGCGCCGTAGGCGGAGTGCCTCCTGCAGCTGCTGCTGCTCCGCCTATCAGGGTTCGCGGGAGCGGGGGCTGCTCTGGCGCCGCGAACATGGCCCAGCTCGCTCTTCCCCAGCTCGAGTCGTCCCACCACGACTGCCACGAGACCCAGCGCCATCGGCCTGCGCTCCATCCCTGCCAGTCGTTCGCCTGGCTTCCCTGCTGCCAGGGGTCTCTGTCCGGCTGCTGCCACGGGTCGTTCCCCGCGACCTGGGCTGCTGCCGTGGTTGCTGCTACGCTGCCCGTCGCCGCGGCTGCTGCTGCTGCGTCGGCGGGCTGGTCCCTGTTCGCTGCTGGCGAGGCCCCGCTGGGGGCCGGCTGCGGCAGGTGCGTGTCCTCAGTCTGCTCTCTGTGTGTCTCCTCCTCCGCGGTATCTTGAGGGGCAGGCATCTGCCCTCCGTCTGCGTTCCCCGACGCCTCGTGGCCCTCCTCAACCATCACGCTCCTGCTACCATTGTGAGCCGACGATCGGATCGAGAGGGATGGACGGGCGCGGGGAGAGGGCGACGGAGGGTCTCTGGGGCCCGCCTCTCCTCCCCACGTTTTCAGTGACTTGAGCCACAACAATCACAGTACACGCACGCCTGCAGCACAGAATAGCAAAGCACGAGACTATTCACACAGGCTCCCAACATATCTAGCTCGAAGGGTGGGGTGGCAAGGATATACAAGACAATCATCATCATCGTCATCGTCATCATCATCAACATCAGCATGATTATCAACGGCATCAGCATCATCATCAGTATAATCATCAGCATCAGCACAATCATCAATCATCATTATCCTCATCGTCCTCAACGTCGTCGTGGACGGCGTCGGCGACGGCGACGGCATCATCATCACCAACATGTTCAGCATCGGCATCATCAGCAGCAGCAGCAGCATCGTCATCGTCGTCATCAGCATTGTCGTCAGAATGGGCATCGTCATCATCATCAGCAGCATCATCAGAATCAGAAGCAGCAGCATCATCATCATCGTTATCGTAATCATCATCATCAACCTCATAATCATCACCGACAGCAGCAGCATCATCACCATAATCAACATCATCATAGTATCACTATCATCAGCAGCATCAGCAGCATCACCATCATCATAGTCATCAGCATCATCAGAATCAGCATCTCCATCGTCATCATCATCATCATCAGCAGCAGCATCATCATCATGAGCAGCATCATCACCATCATCATCATCAGTTTCAGAATCATCATCAGTAGCATCATCACCATCGTCAGCATCAGCATCATCAGCAGCATCATCAGCGGCACCAACATCATCGTCCACATTCTCCGTACTCCAGCTTCTCAATCCTCTTGTCATCCTCCGACTCCTCCTCATCATCAGCAGCATCATCATACTCCTGTTCCTCTTCCGCCTCACCCTTTTGTTGTATCGACGTTTATCGAGAGATCGGCGCGTCTGTTGGCGGGCCAACAACCGAAAAACTACTTAGGCGATGGACAGTGATCTTGCCAAGATTCAGCTGCTAAGCCTGCCATGTTAGGCACGGTGTGCGAGGTGCAGCAGAGAGACCCACAAGCCTCATCCCGCCTGCTCCGTCTCATTATCATTTGTCTCCTCCTTTTCCTCCTCGTGCTCCTCTTCCATGTCCTCCTCCTCCTCCTCCTCCTGCTCCTCATCCTTTTCCTCCTCCTCCTCCTGCTCCTCCTCATCCGCCTCCTCAGTTGATTGGCAGTGGAAAAATCCTAACACGTTGAGAGGAAAACTGAGTTACCGAGGGGAGCCCTTCCACGCTCTCCTCCTCCTCCTCCCATTCGTACTCCCAGCCCCTCGTTCCCTCTCCGCCTCCTCCTCCTCCTTCTCCTCCGCCTCCTTGTCCGTGGCATTGTCCTTGTCCTTGTCCTTGTCTTCCTCCTCCTTGTCCTACTCCTCCTTCTCCTCCTCCTCCTCCTCCTCCTCCTCCTCCTCATCATCATCATCATCATCATCATCATCATCAGCAGCAGCAGCAGCAGCAGCAGCATCATCATCATCATCATCATCATCATCGTCATCATCATCATCATCATCATCATCATCATCATCATCATCATCATCATCATCATCATCATCATCATCATCATCATCATCATCCTCACCATGTCTGTTCATGTTCCTCGTCCTGCAATCATGGTCCTCGTCCTGGTCCGTGGCCTCTTCCTTTCAGCTGTTTCATGTACAATGTCACAGAGCCGCCCGGGCACTCCCTCGAGCGACTCTGCATCCATGCCGATGGCGATGCTGATGCTGACGCTGACGAGGGCCGCAACTGCGACGAGATGCATGCGCACGATGCCTCCGAATAGAGCGACGAGGTCTGTACATCTCCACCGCTCGGTGCCCAAAAAAAACATATAAATATATATATATATATCGGGAGAGAGATGCATGTATGTATATACATATATATACATATATATATATATGTATATACATGTATATGTTTGTCTAGATGGGAGCCCAAATAATGTAGGACCCCAGGCTGTAGGTCCCCACACTGTAGGCCCCCCACACTGCAGGCTCCCAGACTACAGGGGCTGAGTCCAACGAGTGGTCTGCGAGATCAAGAGTTCGTGCTCAGAGATTACGCCAGATGGCATCAGAATCGCCCCCTTCCCTTGAGTTCGGGGAGGGATGGGCGCCTGCCATCGGGGGGGAATTGGGGGGAAGTGGCAGTTTTGAAGCTCAAGTTCCTACGCAAAGTGGGGAGGGGGGAGAATTTTGGACGCGCGTTGAGGGGCAGTGGGGGGGGATGGAGGACGCTCCGTCGGAAGGATAGTCGCCCCCCCCGATTCTTATGCCATCCAGAGTAGAGGCCCCCAGACTGCAGGCCCCTGGGAGTGTAGAGGGAGTGTAGAGCCCCAGAATGTAGACCCTCAGTCGAATGAGTAGTCTGTCGAATCCGAAATTGGGATGCAGGCCCCACCCCGTAGTGCCCCAGACCGCAAGTCCCCAGGTCCAATAAGTGGTCTGTAGGATCCGAAATTCGTGCCCAGAGACTGTGGGCCCCAAACTATAGGGCGCCATGTCGCATGAGCCGTCCAGGGGATCCGAAATTGGAGCCCAGAGACTATAGGCCCCTAGACTGTGGGCCTCCCGTCCAATGAATGGTCTGTGACATCCAAAATCGGGGCCCCGAGACTGCAGGCCCCCAGACTGTAGGCCACAATCCAGTGAGTAGTCTGGCGGGATCCAAAGCAAGGGGCCCAAGACA